GGCCTTGTAAAGGTTACCCACACACCCTTGGTCATGGATGGAGAACGTGATTCGAAAACATGCTTCTCTACGTCACATCTTGGAATTTCCCTCTTGAGCAAGGCTTGGCAGAGCTGCAGCAGGGAGGTGGGGAAGCTCGAACTTTGCAGATTTAGTCACAGTTAGGCTTAGGATGCTGGCTGGTAGAGACGAGCTTAAGAGTCCCTTCTAGTGCCCAATATACCCACCAGCCTTGCTGGGGGTCGTGTAAGCTTGACATGAAGGCAGGTCTTTGGATTGTTAAAACTGTATGCTTTGTGTGGCTTAGGGAGAAATGATGATGACTTCTTGGAAGGGCGCTGCCTTGCCCCATTCGTTCTGCATACCGACACCACCGAACTTACTACGCAATAGCAGACGTCGAGTGCAGACAGGATTCGGAGGCTTCGGTTCATCAACTGAAGGGTTCTGGTTGAGTTGAAGTGCAATATTGGGGTGTAGGAGCCAGAGACCTCAGGAGTTGGTCCTAGGCCTTTAGAGACTGCGCCGGCCTGGCAAGCCTCGGCTTCTTGTTTTCTTTTGGTCCATGTTTGGGCTTGGGGCTCAGGGCTTAAAGCTTCAGAGCCTGCAGCCTTCGCTTGCCTTCACGGGCCTTCGTGGTCTTTTTGCAGGATGCTACACCCATTAGCTTCGTGACCAAGAGTGTACGGAAGCAAACCCACAAGCTGTGCGTCCCACTTTTGCTGAGGCCGAGCTGAACACGAGCTAGCCTACAGCCTTCACCAGGCCGGTGTAATCGTAGCCCCGAAATGAAGGCAAGCTCATTTCGGGGGCTGCTGTCACAAAGGAAGCTCAGCTTCAAAGTATCCTGAATCATCCCCCGCCCCTCTTCAGTACATCCACTTTGGCCTGTCACCGAAGAGCCCCCTCCAGGCCCAGGCATCGCCGGTGTCACCGGCGAGCGGGCCCGGGGCCCGTTCCACTTCACGTTCGTATCTCCACCATGCACAAAGACCATGAGTCCTGTGAGTGAAACCGCTCGCGAATACCCAAACAGATCGCAAAGCATTGCCCATTCCGATGCCTCTCCCTCTTTCTCGAGGAGTAGCATAAGCCTCGTTCTTACCGATGCCTGGACCGGCTGAGTACTTTTGGAAGCAAGCTGCTTGTCATCGTTCAAGCCCTGTGGTCCTAAGCTCAGCTGGCTCTGCCAGGCGAAGTCGCCAAGGCGCTTGGGCTTTTCAAAGTCTGCAACATCTTTAGGTGTGGCGGTGGGACTGGTAGGATCCCGGTCGCTGTTGCATTCTTTGGTCCTCGCAGAAGTCCCAGCCGAAGTCTTGTTTCGAAGTCAGGCATGAGCTTCGAGGTGAGCTCTTGCGCGCAAGCTGATCTGGGGACCTAAGTTTCACGCAGCAAGTATCAAGCGTGGTTTATAGGTTTTTTTGTTCTCAGGCTGAAGGCCCAGGTAACTTTGATAATGGTGCATGGAGAGAACAGGACAATGCGCTGAGGTTGGCTTCCTGCAGCCATCTTGCAGATATCACTGGGTTCGAAGTATCCGTCATTTCCCAATCCAGGGTTTGTGATTTTCAGTCCATTATGGTGGTTTTTCTCTAAAAAGAGGGTGAGCATGTTGGTCGAGCATGCCGAAGTTCAGCTTAGGTGATTAGTTTGTAATAGCTGTCCGGTATGTCGAGGCAGGAATTGTGCAGGTATATAGTACGTGGCTTTCCTGGAACATGGGTCGCAGTCGCTTTGGATTTTACACCGTTCCATAGTTGAGGTTTTCCGCCGGCTCAGAATCAAGGTAAGATGTGTCGGGGTGCAGGGTGGAGCCGTGGTATGAACGAGGAAAATGTGTGCTGCCAGGGCGACAGCGTCCAGCCTCATCGCCTGGGTCCAGGTACGTCGGCTCCGGGTTGTTTTGCTGTGCAATCTTAGTCTTCCAGCTCAGGGCCCAAGGCTTAGGCTTCATTTTTTTGGCCGAGTTCGGGGCTAGACCAACTACTGAAGCGCAGTCCACACGCCCTCTTAGGATGTGGCATTGTTAAGGCGGGGTGGAGGAAGGCCACGATCGCGACATCAGCCCTGCTGTTGATGATATAAATCCTGCATTACCTTAAGGACCCGAAACTATGGCAATTATGGTTCTTTCCTTATTATGGGTCATGCAGGATTTCTTTCATCAACCGTAGTATTGCAGTGCAGGTCCTGGAGCTCAGAGCCCGCGCCGAATGCATTCGCGCTGCGTCTTGGGCCCCAGGAAGGGAATCGGGATTTGGAGAACTGAGTTGTTGTGTGGTGCTTTGGACCCAAAACACTGTCCTTAAAGGGTCGCCCCACAAGCGTGGCGAGCATGAATGCGATGTAGGAAGCTCCTATCCTGTTTTTTCGGCCGACGTTTCCCTTGCACAAGGGCTTAGTTCTCCTTTATTGGAGGTTCCGAGCCCTCAGCCAAAGATTGCTTGCAGGGACGGTAATCCGTAGGTTGGCCGTCTCGCTAGGGCTGTAGCAAGCAGGACCCAACACTTGCACCTTACCACAAATGCCGACAGCTCATTCCAAACCATACCCTAAACCGCAAGTTCAAAAGCTTAAGCCTGAATGCTCAGCTTCTGCCTTCTCATGCACAGGAGTGTAACACACCTTACTGGGATGTAAGCAAATGACCTTTCAGCCCTTGAGGTAAATGGTAATTCTGGAGCATGGAGCATACAAAGATTATTTAAGATTTCTATTGACAGTATTGTCAGTACTAATACAAGAGTTATTGCCCACCCTAAACCCAACACCTGTGAGCCCGGATCGAGAATTCAACCATCGAGTGCTCGTGTGACCCCGAAGGGGTCGGTTGCACATTCTTGGGTCGCCTGTGTGCCCAAGGGGGTCGGAGCCACATTCTGCAGCAAAACCCTTTCTTTGTGTATACCTGCTCTAAAACCAGTCAGTGTTTATGCTTAAGAGCTAAATTTCCAGGATGTTCGGGTGGCTCAAGAATTTCGGTAGATTTAATTCTAGTCTGACCTAGAAGTATAAATCATAATTGCAGCCATTTACCAGTAAGTGCGTGCCTGTGTACACGTATACCGTGGTACTACCCGAACTCCTCCATTCAACTGCACTTTTTGTGCTGTTATACTTTGATTTGTGTACTCCCAAGAACTTAAACTTGTGGGTAATTTAGAGCTCCACGTTCGTGACGGAATTCTCTTGCCCTGAAAATACCGGATGTATGTCGCGACGGCTCCGTATCACAAACATGATACACCTACCGCAGATGTTTGGTCGAGACACCTTGAGCCACTCTGAACCCTAAACCCTAAAAAACCCTAAACAGTAAACCCTTAAACCCTAAACCCTAAAAGCTCTAACGCCCCCAGAAGCTTGCCAAAAGCCCTCGAGGAAATGAGCTCTGGGACTTGCAGCGATCCAGGCGCATCTTCGTCCTAGGTAGTATTAGGGAGACCCCTGAAAGGAGGCCAAACTTAACCCTACTTATGGCTCTCTTAAGAGGGTCTATATCCCCCAGGGTCCCCCTAATCCTGACTCCCACTGAGAGACCTTCCTCCGCTCGGGGATCGAGTCCCTGCTCTCCTTCGTTTGTTCTTGGTCATGTGTTTTAGGGCTTAGGGTTTTAGGGTTTAGGGTTTGGGGTTTAGGGTCTTCCTAAACCCCACACAACAAATTTCACTCTAAAGCAATTCCAAATTGAAGGCGTTTTGTCGGTTTTATCACCGTTGGTTTCCGGAGACTTGCAGCCGCTAGGCCACACCAAGCAAAGCGACAACCCACTTCGGGCTCAGTGTCCAGGCGTAGGACTTTGGTTTCCGGGTTGTCAGTGTTGAGACTCAATGTTCAGCATCTTGCATCTGAGGCTCTAAAGACTTCTCCAGTCTAACGAAAACTCTTCAAGCAGAGTCGCCTTTAAATGCATAGAACCTCCTCAAGTCTGGGATGCTCTTTTGGACAGTTGTAGCCCTTGTGTGCGGAGCGGCCAGGAAGACGGAGGAAACAGTGGCATGCATTCCCCTACAATGATTCCAGAATACCCTTTACAGCGGACCCTATCATAGAACCCTCTAGGATTACATCCGGTGCAACTGTGCAACGTCAAGACCAGTTTGCCTAAAGGCGCCGCGATGAGCGTCGGCGCCAACTGGAGGTTCAGGACGGTCTCATTCGTTTTTGTTCCTCTCTTCCCAATGATGGGGTCTTGGAATGTTCTGAGGTGTTGAAAAGTTCCTCAGGATTGTTCTGTTTCGTTGTGAGCCTCGGGCGAAGTGCACAACCGCAGCGAGAGAGATTGTGTAAAGCGGTAGCCGTCTGGGCAAGATCAAGTTGAAGATCCCGCGCACGAATCGTTTGCAACCCTTAAGCCCTAAACCCGCAGCCCGTAGTGGCTTGCTCCTTGCGCCTTGGCCAAACCCGACCCCAGAAATGCCATAGGGTTTCTTCAAACTCGGATCCCAATGGGGCGTCCTTGTGTTAGCATCCGCGTTTGTCGTCTGAGACTCAGCTCTTGCATCCCTTGGATGGAAGTGGCAAAAGACCCGCGCAGCGCAGCAAGGCTTCAACGATTCCCAGAACCGGGGTCCCCCTCTGCTGTTTGCGATGCTGGAGTTGTGATCAGCCTCTCTCTATCTCTACTTGTGCAGACCGGTGCAGGAGCGATCCGAATGCCCATTCCAGCCCAGACGCGCAGGACGGCACTCCGCAAGGGTTGCATTCTGCGAGTGCTGCACCGACACAAGCACCTGACAAAACGTCACAGGTGTTACATCTGGCCACGCAGACCCTTAAACCCCTACATTCCAGCCCCTGAAGCCCAAACGTTGATCTGATGTCGGGGCTTCGGCCGTGGTTTGGGACCACAGTCGCGATTCTCCGCCAGGCCGAAAGAGCTTGGACAGCTCGGCACTCAGATGCAAAATTCTGGATTGGGAAGCCCTAAACTCTAAACAGTTCCGCTGGTCTGGGCGAGAGCTTCTTCTTGTGGCTCAGAGCCCAAGAACTTTGCAGGAATGCAGGAGGATCGAATCTCCGAGGATCTGTCGTTCTGCCTTGGGAGCCATCTCGTCGGAGAACTGCAGGACCGAAAGGCTTGAGCCTTAAAGCCAGGACCTCTCCGTAAGAGTAGGACAGAGTAGCGCGGCAACCCCTTGAGTCGAAACGATAGGGCTCACACCCCCGAAGCTTCTACCGGAGCCCAAAGTCCTAGAGCCCTGAATCACCTCAATATAGGGCTCCTTCTCGAACATCCCCCATTTTGGGGGGGCCCTTTTTTTGATGTGGCGCCTCGGAGCGCTCTTCGTGGCCGCCGGCGCTCCAGGGCCGGAGCTCCAGGTGGGCAAGGACCTGTGGAGCTTTCCGGAGCGAGGGGGATGAGGGAGATATTATGATATTATCATCTGTCCCGACGGGAGTCGCGGACCGCGACAGGGGGCCGATGGTCCAGAAGCCCGAATCCGCTTGTTCATTGTCGAGTAATGGGTGGTGCTGCTGCAGTCTCCGTTTCCACCCCCGCCCTCGAGTTGTGCATGTTTACTCTTACCCAGGAACCTGAGCTTGGGATCCAGCCTAAAACACCGAAACCCGAAGGACACTAAGCTCGTTTTGTCAGCTCGTCTGAAAAGTCTTGACCCTAAATGCAAGCTTCCCCTCAACTCGCAGCCCTTGTATCATTCTCGACGCAAAGCCGAACGGAAAAGCGCCCTAAATCCTGCCTCACACCGAAACACAAAGACTCCAGAAGAGGACGGCTGCTTCGGCCCCGCGGCTTCGCCTTTGCACTGCTGCAAGGCGCGGAGGCCGTCGCAGCGCCTGGGCCAAGGGAAACTGATGGTCGGGATTGCATACAACGGTATTCAGGAGCTTGAGGCGTAGATTTCTGGCATATCTGGAGCTTCGTCACGGACTCCTGGAACCCCTTCGAAAATCCAGGTGTCCTGGCGTGACTCCGGAGAGTCCCTGCTGCCAGCTGCGCGCACGCTCCGGAGCAGTGGCGCCCCGCCCAGGCCTGGAGAAGGCCAGCCGCCATGGGGACGTGGGCTTCGCTCGAAGCTGAAGGCTCGGAGGAAAGCAGCAGCAGCCGAGCTGTGCTGGTAGTGGTGGTGGTGAAGGTAATATCCCTTCGTTCGGGAAGCTTTGCAGTCCTCTGCTGAGTATCAGGACATCGTGACTGGAACAGTAAAAGCGCAGAAGCGCACAAGCGCCCAAGCACTGCATGGGAGAGGCGGAGACCCTGTGAGGCCGAACTGAGCTCTGAGGCCTCCATGGACACATGGGCTACGAACTTCAGCAGCGCAAGCATTGTCGGGGTACTGAGCCGTGTCATGCTGTGGGTAGCAGGCCTCAGAAGTTGTAACACTGTGTAGATGTCTCAGCTAAGCTGAAATTTGGGCCATAGTAACTTGTCGGCTTTTTCTCTTCCGTCCAAATGGCAGAGAGCCTCCCCAGGCCACGGGACATCTGCTTCGTTTGAAGCTGCGCCTCGTTGCTTGTCGGCGCTTTTTTTGCGCGCTCTCTGAATCAGGATCCCCTCCCTTCAACGGTCCTTGTTGTAAGCCTGACGTTCGTTTTGGGGTACCCAGGAAGGAATCTAGGTCCACCACGAATAACCCTAAACCCCTAAAGCCGTGATGGACTTCGAATCCCTCCTAAAGGCCCCGAAGCCCTCAACCCACTGCGCCGAGGTCGCCTGCGCGCACGCGCGCGTCGCCGGCACGGAGCCCGAAGCCTGCGGCCCGCGCTGCCTGGCGCTGCTCTCCTCGGCGCCTCGGAGCTTCCGCTCGTGAGGGCTCAGGAGGAAGGTTTAAGATTTAGGGTTTAGGGTTTAGGGTTTAGGAGTACGGACTGTGGGATGATCTGTTTTCGGGGGCCCCCTGGGTCCTAGTAGGGTATCTTGAAGACGAGCCCTCTGGCCCAACAGGCTCGAAAATTCCAAACTCAGTGTGAGGGTGAAAGTGGGGCATGTGTCCAGTTAAGGGCCCTCCAGATTGGATCCCATGTTCCTCTTCTCTGATAGCCGGTGGGCAACAGTGAGAGGAAATTAGCAAAAGGATTCGTCGGGCAGTTCTGCAAAAGGGCCTTTCGTATCTTGTCAGCGGCTGCCTAGCTTCCTAGCTTTTTTACATAAGCCTTTCCCTCTTCAGATCCAGCTAGTTGTGGCATACTTCTTCCACCGCCGCCATTGATGTCACCCGTCAGCGACATAATAATAACAATAACAATAACAACAATAATAGTAATAATGATAGTAATAACAATGACAATAACAATAATAATAATAATAATAACAATAATAAGAAGAATGATAATAATAATGATAATGAACTAGCAGTCACTCAGAGGACTTCTTTCTCGCTCGCAGTCTTGCACCGCTGCCCTTTCTCCCCCGGGCCGAGCCTGTCGCAAACGGCTCAGCCCGAGAGCAGGACTAGCAATTACTATTAGTATTACGACTATTATTATTATTATTACTATTATTATTATTATTGTTATTACTATTATTATTATTTCTATTATTAATATGATTACTACCACTATTATAAGGTACCCCAAGGACAGGTGCCCGGCCAGCATGAAGGCTTTAGGTTTACTTCATTCGAAAGAGCAGAAGTGAAAATTCCATGACACGAAGAGCAATCCCAAAGTTACAGCTGGCACGACATGGTCTTCTACTCGTCTCGACACTTAGACAGTCATGAAGCCCAAAAGAATTCCTACCCGAGGATCTGGAGGAGATCCTACGTAGCGGCCCCAAGGGAGACGCAACCTCTGGCCGCCTGAGCTTTCAGGAGGAGGCACGGGCCTTGGGTGAGGCTTCTGAGATCGGGCTCGGTTCGAGAAGTCTGAGGGCCGTGCCATTTCATCTCTCTCTCTCTCTCTCTCTCTCTCTCTCTCTCTCTCTCTTGCAAGTGTACTTCGAAGCCATGCGATTTGTGCTGTTGGATTCACGATTTAGGGCGTGGGTCGTTCAGGCTTTTGGAAAGGTTGTTGAAGGTCGCTGGCAAAGCAGCTGGCTGTCTGGGACATGCTACTGCATCACACAAAGCAGAAGCCGTCATCCTTGATCCAGCCCTTGAACTTGCAAGCCAGCGAGCCTCGGAATTGCAAGCCAGCGAGCCTCCCTCCCAAAAAAGTTGCCTGAAGGTTGCTGCAGCTTCATTGTGCTTTCGGCTACTCCTCTTCCGCCACCAGATGCAGAGATCTACTGCGAATGGTCAGACTTTTCCATGCTTTGGGGTCCTTTGCTGTCTAGTAAGGCTTGCGCTTCTTTGTTGGTGCTGGTAGAGCAAGGAAATCTGGAGACAACTTCGGCAAGAATCTTCCGATGAAGTTCTTGCAAGAGCTCCCCGGTCTGCCAGATTATTCGTTGATAAAGCTCCTTCTTCCTGAAGTGATCCTTACTGGCCTCAGTGTCTTTTTGGAGCCCCCGCGGCTCCGAACCAGAACGTCGGGGGTTCTGACTTGTTCAAGTTTTAGGGTCCTTGGAACAAAGATCTCGTTACTGCATTCAGGGCTGCGGTGTTTTGTGTTGGCGCTCCTTACTGTCTCCGACTCCCTATCACCCTACGACAGTCCCATGTGCTACAGTCTGTACTGTGTGAGAAGGTGGTCATCTTGGCTCCACCGAACTAAAACCCGGTCCCGTCAGCGGACTCTGCATGAATCATCTGCGAATCTACGCATGGCTCCCTCGGCGGATCTGGCAATATATAGCAGGCATCTACGCATCTCAACTTCCCTTTGAATTGCCCATGGATGTGTGCTTTCCACCATACTTCCTCAAGCTCCGACGGCATCCTCGGGGGCAGGCTTTCGAAGGCACCCGCTCAAAAGACATCCTGCTGCATGGTGGTGAGTCTGGTGCGATATGATGACGATGGCGCCGGCTATGTCTTTAGCATGTTTTCATGGTGAAATACTCGAAGCTTTGTCGGTTGGAGCTCTGGATGAGCAGAGCTATTGTGGGATCGTTGTCGGCCGTTGGACTTATCGTTCATTTGCTTCACCACATTCGGTTCGAGGTTGGGTGGTGACTCGGGATGCCACGGTACATTTTCGCTGAAGGCAAAAGCTTGGTGAAGCAAGGCAGTGTTCTCGGCCAGTCTGTGTGCATCGGCCTCCCTTCCCGTGGGGACGTCATGGCTGTCTGTGCCCCACTTGCCCAGCCAGTGGTAGGGATGTCCGAGGAAGAGGACGGTGTGCCTTTGGCGCTAGAACTGTGTTACCTTGCCTGTACTACACTGTTGAAGGATCAATGGAGAAGTAGAAGTCAAGTCGCAATCAGTATGTTAGAGAAAAAGGCAAGCACTCCTCCCAGCTGGGTGCTAGATCGATGATGAGCCTGAAGCTGGATCCGAGCAAAAGCAACTCTCAAGAACCAAGCCTTGCACCGCTGTGGTGGCAAAAATGTCCCAGGTTTGCATTCCTCTGGGAGATGAGCCATTTCCTGAATTGGCAGCATCTGCTGGACGGGCTGGTTTGTGGGTTTCAGGCTTTTTGGATTGGGCGCCGCAGCATTGCTTACCTGCAGGCCTGAGACTGCGATAAGTGATGGGGATGCAGTTTCTAATTTCTTCGAGTCTCGGATGAGTGCTCAAAGTGCCGCTACCACTTCTTAGCTCAAGGTCGTGAGACAAACGATTGCAAATGTGAAGACGAACGCTCAACTCAACAATGCCGTTTAGAGTTGAAACACTGCGGCGGCGACTACCAGAACTGCTAGAACTGACAGTGTAGTATAGCAGTATAGCATGGACATTTCGTTCATAGACAAACCGCATCTGCCACAGCTGCAAATGGCAAGCCTCAGCAGCCCCCAAGCNNCCCCCCCCCCCCCCCCCCAAATTAGTAGCGCACAAGCGAGAGTTCTGCGAATGACAAGACCCGGGAATTGACCCGGTTCACCCCGAGGATCGAAGATGGCGTAGCATATCAGAAGCGGAAGCAGCAAAGCTGTAGATCCGGCGCTACCTAACCCGTAAAGCTGGGGACAGAGCAAAGACAGCTTGGGCCTTGGACCCTCAAGCTTCATGGCCGACGCATCGCTCCGTTCCCTCCCTGAGAGAGAGGAATCTGGTTGGCCTGTGTTTGGTCTCTTTCGCCTCGTCGCGCAGCACTGGCCCAGGCCTCTCGTCTCCTCCCAGACCTTGGGATTGCAGGGGTTGTTGGGGGCTGCAGGACCTCGTGATGCTACGTGGTACGCTTGGTTGTCATTGCACCATCGAGTCTTGCCGGGGAGAAGCTAGTGTTAGCAAGCCTGCTGCATCCCGTCGAAGAACTGCGATTGAAGTTTCAAAACCGATGGAGCATCCAAGATCTGGCACGGCGGGAGACGAAACGGCTGCTTGGTCTAATCCGAGGCACGCAGCAGGTGTTTGGCCTAGAGGGAAGATGCCAAACCTGGACCTAGCAAGTAGGCAGTAGGGTACTTAATTCGATGTTTCCCCATGTGTTGAGCATCCACTGTCTTCTCGATTTAGGCTCCAGGGTTTCACCGTTTTGGATATCTTGAGGCACTCGGTGTTGATCCTTGGCTCCCATGCCTGGGCCCCGAAAACGGCGGCCGGCTACATGTCAGGATTCGAGATTCCTTCCTTCCGAGGTGCGCCGCACACATCGCGGCAATGCGACGGCATCGGTTTGTGATGGTTGGACTCTCAGAGACAACTCATCGAGCTTGGGATGACGTCCCTGTATGCACCACCTTACAACACGTTCGCCATGCGTTTCACTTTCGCGACGTTCGCCTCTAGTACCTAAGACTCAGCTGGTGACGCAGCATCATGGAGGCTCAATGCTGGAATCGAAAGCCTGATAATCTTGCCACCCCTCCAAACCTGCAAAACTACCTCCGCCGATCCCTGCGAGTGAAGTTCAGGGCCTTCGTCAAAGCTTCGTTCGTCATTGGAGGCCGCTTCGGCAGGGCTGAAGAAGAAGTCCTGTGATCTCCTTGAGCGTGTTTCGATTTGGGGGCCTTCAGATTTTATGATTATTACTATTATTACCATGATTATCATTCTTATTATTGTTATTATTCTTATTACTAGTACTATCATGATGGTTCACGGCTGCTCCAGCCGCCGTCTTGGATGCAGGCTTTGAGAGTCTTGTGCAGCTGCCTTCGCAAGCTCGACGCTCTTCTGAGGTTCACCGGGCTAGAGGTATTGGAACCCCGATTGACATGAGCCTACCCACTCCTATGACTCCCGTTGGGAGGCGATGGGCTCCGACATCGATGGCGAGGGCCTGCGCGTCCCTGGGACCGGTCTCAATGCTGGAACACTTGTGTATTGGGCCCCTCATGAGGCCCGGAACGCTAAACCCTAAACCCCAATCAAGCCCCGAATGAGGCCCTGGACCCTGAGAAAGAAGCCCTTGTTGTTGCGGCTTTCGGAGTTTGGGGGATGTGCAGGCCGCATGCTCCCCGCAGAAAGCCTCAGGCAGGAAGTTGGGCCACTGCCACGGTATGAATACTGCCACTATTTAATTTAATAACAATACTACTCATAATGTCAAGATGCTAATACTGTATAATAATACTAGACTTCAACAGCACTGACTTATGGGTTTCTTCGTCGGTACTTGATTCAGGAGCTCTCTGCCTCTTAGTTCCTGACCGGGTCAAAAAGGAAAGCCAAGCAATTCGACAACCCTACCCCGCAGATCGAGCTTAGATGCTGTTTCGTCGTTTCTGGTGTTGTGTTTCGCTCCAGTTATTCGCATGCTTCGTGAGTCGAAACATGCCTTCCTTTACGGGACATTCTACTTGAATGGCGACTGAAGCACCCTACCCGCGAAAGCACTGCTTGTAGATTTGACAAGGTGGCAACCAGGAATAGAAGCTAAAGTGCTTTCGATTACTAGTGCAGAGGCCGTTTTGTTGTTCCTGCGGGTTGACAGGCGATCGAGGAATGTGCTGTGCTTCCTCCACTGCCGTTCTCGCGCGTTTGTTGTTCGAAGCCTGTCAAGGAGCAGAAGTAACCACTAAGCTGGCCTAAACCCTAAACACAACCCTAAACTCTAAACCCCTAAATTCTAAACCCCTTTTTTTCCAAAGCACTGAATCCAGGCGGGGTTACGGGACAGGGGTAGCATGACGCTCCGTGTCTCCAGGTTCCGGGGGTGGGCGAGCCGAAGGAGTGCGGCTGGCAGGCGGGGGTCCATGTTTCTCCAGAGTTGGCCGTAGGGATGTGAGGTCTAACATTGTTCAGGAGATCGCAGCAATCCTACATCTCGAGAGTGTGCCTGGCACCTGAGAGGGCTCCTTGAGGCGGTCTCGTCTGTGAGGTCTCGACTTCCGAAGAGTGTAAGTCTGAAGGGAGATGTCGGCGGTTGTGTCGTTATTTTCACCCGAGCCTTCCTCACACAAGTTCATCTCAAATCACGCATCCTGAACCTCTATCTGAGTCAGGGGCCCGAGCCTACAGAGCTGCTTGCAAGCAAAGTAAGTTGCAAGAGGGCTCCCTATTATAGCTCATCAGGAATCGCTTGGGAAGCTGCTCATGACAGCCTGGCTGATCTACAACGCGAACTCTTACCGGCTCCTCGGACAGCAGGAAGGGTGCTTTGCTAGAGGCCGGGTTTGGGACTTGCGCATTGGACCCGCCTTCAGAGCAGGCTGGAGGTTTCTTCGTGGTGGTCCGGTTTAAGCAGGTCCCAGCTGGGCTTCGTAGTAATTTTTGCTTGGAGAGTAAAGGACCTTGACCTGCACCAGGTACCACATGTACAATGGCAAGTCCTTCGCACCCCTGGAAGACATGCCCTTCTACGACCCTTGTCCTGAAAAAGCACGGGCGGTTAATCTGAAGAATCCTAGCGTCTGGAGCTCGGGCGGTGTCCGGTGTGAGGTTTGAGGGTTTCGAGTTTTGTGCAGCCTGAAGACCTGTTCAGTTCAGGGTCAGCCCGTGTTACCAATTTGCTGATTTCAGCGGGTCGAACTCTGAGGAAGAAATGTCCTTAAATTCAGTTGTCGAACTCTGTCTGTCCAGGCTACGCTACCCGAGATTCATTCACATAGGTCAGGGAATGAGATGAAGAGTAGCAGGCAGCGACTGGATCGAACTGACTTCATGAGGCTCCGGTTCGGGAAGCAATGGAAATGCCGTGCGCAGTTATGATCCAACGCGCGGTGTGAGATCTGACCGCGGCTTGCTTCTGGTTGCTGCGCAACTTTTCCTGGGCCATGGCGGGTTCCGAGCATGCGAAGCGAAGAGACACTATGGCGCTTGAGCTTTTGTATGCCTGCAGAAGAAGTGACAATCGCACCTCGAACGGACGAATTCATGGAAGTTTACGACCAGAGTGCATCCTACGTCATACGTCCCAACCTCATGTCTTGAAGGGATCGCTTCTGGCTGAGAACGTGGGTTCAGCTTCAAGGAATGAGTCTACCGGAAACAAGGCCACCCGGCAAGGCACGAAGGTGGAACAAGTCATTCTCCACTGCAAAGGTGAGGTCGGGAGGTTTTTGACCAAATCGCAATGCATAGGGATTCCTGGAGGGTTCAAAGCCTGAATGTTGGCAACCACGCATTGGAAACACGGCGGGGTTTTCTCCAAGATGCCCACACCATGATGCACGCAAAGGAGACGGAGTAGACTGGTCTTCGACCGAGCCCCACCATTTAGACTTGTATGTCCGAAGATTAGCAGCCGAAAAGGCGCTGCCGTCCTGGGTGTACCCGCCGCTGTCGACTGTTGTCTAGGTCTTTGGGTTCGGGGGTCCCGGGTTCTGGGCATCTGCTATTCGCAGCAGAGACGATGTGAAAACTTGGCGAGGTCTATGTTCTTGCTTCTCTTGGGCAGCTAAAGCGCTGGCGATGACTGTCCTTTCCGCTGTTGCTACGATATGGGGGTTTCCGAAAATAGGGGACCCTAATATAGTACCCTAAATAGTAGGATCCTTATTATGAGGACCCCAAAATAAGGGTACCCGGAAAGTCCCATATCGACCTTTGGGTTCATTTGTTACAGGGTCCAGGCCCCAGAGGAGGAGTTTTCCCAAAAAAGGCCCTAAAATCCCAAGTTATCCTGAACCCTACGAACGCCAAGGAACCCTGATAGCAGCTTTTTGCGGAAAGTCCTCCTAGCCACAGACCCAGGTAGTCGTGAGCCCCTTTTTTTGTGGGAAGGCCTTTAACGGCCAAGGGGGGCCCCGTGAGTCGAAGAGCTATGAGGCTCCCCAAGATCTCCCTATACCCCTCTGCTATGGAAAATTCCTGAGGGCCCCAAAACAAGCCAGAAAGGGGTTTGGGGTTTAGGGTTTAGGGGCCACATGAATCCAGAAATTTTTGAAGTTAAGGAAATGGTGCTACACCGGTCCTGGGAGCAAAGTCTGCTGGGACTCACCGGCGACGCCTCGCAAGGGCCGCTTTGTCGGAGGATGGATGGATGTGGGCCTTTTGGGGTTCAGGGTTTAGAGGTTAGCATACCCATGCAAGACTTCCTTCTACGGCGGCAGTGGGGGCGATTGTTCGTGATGGCGTTCTTGTTGTGGACGATGGCGATGTGGATGGTGATGACGGCCACAGAACGACATCTTTCAGCCCGGACCTTGAGACAGCGACAGCCGCAACCCCGCAACCTCCTTTTTTTATTTTTCCCTTCACACTTCCTACCTTGAAGCAGACATCATCGACCCTGAGAGTTGCAACTCCCGGAAACTCGCAGATTTTCGTAAGGAGGCCCTCAGGAGGCGGCCAAAGAACCTCCTAGGCCTCTGGACAGCCATGACAGCCCTCTTCAGGCAAAGAGGAACTGTGGAGACGGCGGCGCAGCTGCTGCTCGCCTAGAGTTAGGGAGCGGTGCCAAGTCCCAAGCCCCACTTTTCGATTTTTGCCTTTCCTGCAGGTTGGTACTTGGCACGTCGAGTGATTTTGGCGCTTGGCGAGGGTCACGTGCGTTTGTTTTGTCTTTGTGTTGAAGAGACAAAGAGGACAGGATGATGCTTGGGGCCTTCGGCAGGTACATGGGCCTGTGAAAGCAGCTTGAATCAACTTCGCAAGAGCCGCATGCACTGGCAGGTGAACTCACCGCATGTACACACTCCTGCATTGAGGGTGAGATGACATTATATGTGATGTGGCATAAGGCGTAAGAAACGGCGTAGGAGCCGACAATGGAGTCGAAGCGAGACATGATGCACGAACTCGGAAAGCACTTGATGTGCGAGCACGTTACGGGCTCCGTCCGGACGCAGCATCTGACGGATAACGTGAAGCATTGTTACTCTACCCCGCGAGCCGTCACATGACCTGCACATGGTTTCAGAGCTTGACATATTAGTATAAATACTATGATGATGATTATTATTTTTATTAGTATTATTATGATTATTATGGCATGATCTATGAATCTATGATGACCCGGCTTGACGCTCCAGAGCCGGGACTGGGTTTTCGATTTGCGGTTCGACGTTAACGACGCAGTGAAGCGGAGCGGACAGCGCCCGTTTTGGGGTGGAAGGTTCAAGTCTAGGCTCATCGAATGCCTGCATGAGCAACTGCGGCCAAACTCCACAGGCAGAACTTGAGATGCAGCGTGCAAGTTCCAGGCCACCTTGAAGGTGGGAATGGATCACCGCCGGATAGACAGAGAGTCGAAAGTCCCCTCCCAGAAAAGCCCCTAAGCCTGAAGCCTCAAAGCCCTGAAACATGAAGCTCAGGGGGCCCTGAAACATGAATCCCCCTGAGCTTTGCCGAAGGTTGCAGAGCCGATGGGATCCCTGGGATCTTCTGAGCTCGCTGGACCGGCCTTTGGGTGCCAGGGTTTTAGGTCCAGTTTAGGTCCCAGTTTAGGTGTTCAGACAGACTGTTGAGGCAGCAGATCTTCGTGAGTTTGTGTTTGTTTGGGCAAGGGGGCTTCTTGGAATATCTCAGGGTCATGTTGTACAGGGCTGCGCGTTCGGTGTTGTCGGTCTTGGGTTTAGGGGCTTCCTGTCAGTCTTGGGCACCCCTCAATCCGGAACAGGGCAGAGCTCTTCGAAGCCTAAGGGGCCGCCTAAAGGGGGCCCGGCTTTGCAGTCACGCAGTCCAAGATCGCCCACACTTGGTGGGATCTCCAAAGAGCCGGCAGGAAGTGCTCCACCTACATCGCTCCTGGAGGCTGTTCAAGGCCTCTGCCAGGGCTTTGAAGCTTTCTGGCTTCGGTTTTTTTTTTTGGGTTCTTTTTGGACTCTTTTGGGTTTACATCGAGAGTTTTGAAGCGGAGTAAGATGGAGCAGCAGGGGCGCTCCAGCCCTTTTGACGGGTGTTTTCCATGATACAGTGCTCAATATCGGACCCGAATCAGATCCTGGTGAGGTCACGGTAAGTTGCGGAAATCGCTCTTCGCGCTGGTGCCAAAGGGTGCATCGGGGTTCGTATGTATGAGTGACCTCACTGTTGCGTCTCAGCTTTGACCCCCCAACGCCGCTTCTCAGCCTCAATCAGGTTTGAGACAAGCTTCCAATGCAAAAAATCTTAGTCTAAACAGCATCTTGGCGTCCTGATCCCGGATCTTTTAACCTCAATCTGGCTCCCGGCGTCGGAAACCTTGCTGCATCGAACTTCGGGATGAAGCAACGCTGAACTCGAAACTCAAAGCTCTGGGCCCCCGAAGATTTCAACCTAAGCCTTTCAAGAACGCAGGAGATCCTGCCTGTGCAGCCCGTCATTGTCGAGGAAGCGTCCACAGACATGATCTTGTCCTTTGCCCCCCATGAACCCAATTTTTCGGCTGCTACTCCGGCCGTGAGGTTTGGCATCAGTTTAAGCAGCTGTGCTTCCGCCCCCCGACGGCGTCCCGAAGTGCCTGTACTACGGGCTCCACACCAGACTTTGGACAATCCCGTTGGCATTCAACATGGAGCCGTTGTCACGATCATGGAGGGGCAGGCTTACAGAAGCCTAGACGGGTGGACCATGACACGCGAATCCAGACAGCCACTCGTAGTTACTTAAAGAATTACAAGAGAGTATATGAGCCGTGTGGCCTGGAACTTGAACGCCGAAACGCCTGTCCTGCCGGTTTCGGCGGCGAGTGCAGGCCGGTGCCAATGACGGCATTCACGAGGCGATTTGGCTCCAGGCCCTTGGGGGCGGCTTTGGGGACCGGGAGGTTTTTTGGTCTGAGAGGCTGTGGGTGTGGCTCTTGCAGACCGCACACTTAGGATCTCCGAGAGACGTGCATAGTTTGATTGAGAGCTCACGTCTACCACGATATTTGGCCAGTATCGAATGCAGCCTGCCGCACCTGAGAAAGTTAGCCAAGGTAGACAAAAAGACGATGCAGCCTTTTCAGCCCTGATATTCACCTTGCAATGAGATGCATGTGTGATTGAGGAAGGGAGGGAAGGTAAGTGGATAGGTCTCTCTCGCCTCGTCTCGTCTCGTCTCGTCTCGTCTCTCCTCGTCTCGTCTCGTCTCTCCTCGTC